GGCAGTGAGTTTGGTTTGATTTGGTTTAAAATGTCCTAATATTGCCATCATATTTGAGGGACAATTTTTCAAGGTATATAATTCTTGGTTGGAGATTTTTTTCTTATATATACATTATCCCATTGTCTTCTTGCTTGCATGGTTTCTGCCGAGAAATCTGAGCTTAGTCTTATTGGTTGCCCCTTGTAGGTAACTTTTTGTTTTTCTCATGCTGCTTTTAGGATTCTTTCTTTGTCTTTGGTTTGGGTGTTTGATGAAATGTCTTGGTGAATTTCTTTTGGGGTCTATCCTGATTGGGGTTTATTAGACTTCTTGACCCTGATTGGGGTTTATTAGACTTCTTGAATGGATATAGTCTCATCTTTCATCATACCAGGAAAATTCTCTTCCAACAAATCTTCAACAGTTTTTTCTGTGGTTTTGTCTGTCTCTTCCTGTTCTGGAATTATGATTACACATAGATTATTCCTTTTGATGGTATCCCACATGAACCTTAGGCTTTCTTCATTTTGTTTTGATCTTTTTTCTGATGTTCCCTTTCCGAAGAAATATGGAGGTATTTGCCTTCAGTCTCACTAATTCTGTCTTTCATTGATTCAGTTCTCCTCCTTTGCCCATTCATGAGTTATCTATTTCTGAAAATTTAGTATTAATCTTCTGGATTTCTGTCTGTAGATTTTGTATCATTTCTAATTTTTCATTTATTTTGTCATTTTGTTCTTGTATTATCTTTTGAAACTGTTCTAGGGTTTTCTCTCTGTTTTCCTCAATTTTGCCAGTGTTTTTCTTGATCTATCTATCTCTCCATTCATTGAAGGTACCTAAATATATTTCTTTAGAATTTCTTATCAGGGAGTTGCAATGCTACGTCTTCCTCAGGGATGTGTTTTAGATCTGTATCCTGGTCCCTTGTTTCTCCTGCTTTGTCTTGCTTCTCTGTGTGGACTGTGATGCTCTCTTGTCTCCAAAGCAGTGTGATATTTTTGTGTTTATATTTAATTGGTGATTGTAGGTTGGAGTGACTTACCCACAATTTACATTTTCTTTTTTTGGTTTGTATGTTATCTTTGTAAGCAAGATACTATGATGTGCTCCTCTATTCAGTAGTTGGCAACACTTACATACTCAACTACCTGTCTCCTTTCCCGTTGTCTGCCTCCCATATGTCCCATTCTCTGCCTCCCATCTGTCCTTGGCAAATGGAGCCTATTCTTAGAACCCCGGAATCTGAATGAGAATGCTGTCACTTTAAATATCTAAGATGGCCACCATTTGTAAACAATCAAAATGGCTGCACCCTCGGTCACTTCAGATATCCAAAATGGCTGCCACTTGTAATCCTTCAAAATGGCTGTGCCCTCAGTCACTTTAAATATCCAAAATGGCCACTGTGTGTAAACAGTCAAAATGGCTGCACCCTCCAGACAGCCGAAAGTCCATAGCTCAGGTTGTCTCTCTCCTTGTTGTTTCCCTTCCTAGTCATAGGCCACCAGTGCAGTCGTCCCTGCAGCCATTGGCAACCAGGGCTGATCATTAGGTCAATTCTCAGGTCCCAACACCACTTGGAAATATTCAGGCTGTTGGTCCTGTCAGAGTAGTTGACAGTCCACTGCTCTGACCATCTCCATACTCACTGTTTTCATTCAGGTTTTTCTGCTAGTTGGTGCCTAATCCACTTCTGTATACTTCTTTCAAAGCTCAGGGCTCCAGGATTATCTTCCGTATCTCTGTCAATTGGTTTCTCTTTTCTTTGTTGAAGAGGGTCTGTGGAGCTTGTCTGCCTATTCCATCATCTTACTGGAAGTCAAGTTCCAATTTTCATGGAATTAACTACCCTTTAATGGAAGGAGACATGATAAAAAATAAATTAGTTTCTGATAAGCCCTAAGGTGAAAACTAAATCAGGGAAAGAAGAGGTGCTATTTTAGGGTTAATGGCAGATCACATAGAGGACCTTGAGTCAGGATTGTTCTAGGTGCATTCAGGGTAAAGACAAGAGTCATAAGACTGGGATGCAGTGAGCCTAGGAAGAAACTATTAGGAGATTGGAGAGGTTGGTGGTAAGGGAGGACAGATTATTGGGCTCTCAATCAATCTTATCATGAGTGAGATGGTAAACCATTGGAGATGTGAGAAGTGTGGTGATTTGGATTTATTTTTGAAAATCATGTGCTGCTACATGTAAGACAGATTATAAAGTGGCAAAGGTGGAAGCAAGGAGACTGGTTAGCATCTTGAACAGAGGTGTTTGTGATTAAAATTGTTGTTGGATTCTATTTATAATATAGAGCTGGCAGAATTTGCAGATAGTAATGAGTGTGTTTTTGGTTTAATGAGTGTGTGTAACCTAAGCAACTAAAATAATTGTGATTTACTGAGATAGGGAAGACTTGTAGAGGAACGATTTGGTGTGAAGGACCAGGGGAGAGGAGCTAGCAGTTAAATTAGGTTTGAGATTCCAGTTAGTTGTCTGAAACAAGATGTCGCTTAGATGGTGTCTTAACAAATCTGGAGTCAGAAGGAGAGATCCATGCTGAATATTTAACCCTTTAGATTTTTCCTCATAAAGATTTTATAAATTTGTGATATTTATTATAACAGTTTTTAAATTCATTTTGTTGCTATTGTGAAAGGAGACTTATTATACTTTCTATCTAGTTTTTTCTTTATATTTATGTAGGCTATTTACTTTAGTATATTAACCAAGCCATCTTATTGAATTCTTTTACTTATAATGTTTTTCAAATGATTGACAGATTTCTCATATTCTGTACTTTTTTTTTTTAATTCTTTACTAAACTATAATTCTAAAATGTACTACTTTCTTTCATGCCTCTATTTGCTTTCCCCTGCCTGAAATATCAAATATTTCTTCTTTACTCCTCTGAGTTTTTGTTCATTCCCCAAAACTCAGCTCGTATTTCCCATTTGTGAAATATTTCCTAGATTCCTAGGAAAGTTCATTTCTCTTCTTGTGAGCTTCAGCTATGCTATCTGCATACCAGTATAAGAGCGATCATCAAACTTTGCTGTAACTTTGTATGTTATTCCATTTGTGCTACGAAACTTTCAGGGGTAGGAACTGGGTATTATGCATCTTTTCAACCCCACTATTTAGTTGAATTTGCTACCTAATTGTTATAAGACAAATGTTCTTTGAGTAAGAGTGGTCAGTTTCTGCATATAAAAAACTGGAACTTGAAATTTGGGTAATTTTTTTCCTCAGATTTAAAAAAATATTTTAATTTTTGTCAATCTTATAAAAGACAAAGTACAATATATTTCTTTAATTAAGAGCTTCTTTCTTTAGTAAATTAATATCCTGTGAGTCTTCTGTCTTCATGATGCTGAGTGCACAAAGATGCTTGGATTTGTGGGGTCTTCAATTTTGAAAATACTGAGTAGGTGAATGTTACATATTTACTTACAAAGAAACTATTGTGTTTAGTTTTCATTTTTGCCTAGTAAATGGGGAGGAGGAATTAAAATTTATAGTTTTTTAAAAATTCTTATTTTTAGTGAAAAGCAGTAATATTTGTTCTTCTAAAAGTAATTAGCCTTTCTGAAAGGTAAAATTTTACAAAGCTGTAATTTGCAGTGCTCTAAGGGGGAAAAAGGAACTCTGGTGGTGCTGTGGTTAGAGCAGTAGGCTACTAACCAAAATATTGGTGGTTTGAATCCACCACCTGCTCCACAAGAGAAAGATGAGACAGTCTGCCTCCATAGTTACAGCCTTGGAAAGCCTATGGGGCAGTTCTACTCTGTTCCGTAGGGTTGCTGTAAGTCGGAATCAACTTGTTGGCAGTGGGCTTGAGGGAACAAAAACAAAGCCATAAAGCAAAACCATAAAGATATAATTATTTGTAATTATCCTGTATTTATTTTTACATTTCATTTTTTTCCAACCCATCAAATCATTGAACTAGCCCATTGAGGTTTTTTTTTCAAGGTGTTCTCTTTTTCTATTATAAATCAGTTAAAGGACTGTCCTCATAAGTGACATTGAAAACTATTAGGCTAATTATTTGCAACATTTTTCATTGAAGCAAAAATATCATAATTTATGAATAACCATTCACAATTCATTGTTCATTGCTATGTGTGGTGGGAAATACAGCCATCTTCAGAATGCTTCTTTCCTGCAGGAAGTTATAAATGCATGTAGAGAAATAAAACTGGTACCCAGGAAAAAAATTAGAAAAAAATATGTTGCTATATAAAATCAGTTGTATATGCTAAATTCAAAGTAAGGAAAAACTGTTGGTGGATGGGTGGGAGGAAGATGGTTTTGGGGAGGAAGGATGGGTAGGATTTATCTGGATAGAGGAACAGAACATACTACTAGATTAGAAACAGACAGAATGAAAGGTACACAGGTAGGGGGCTATTATAACATATGGGGTATAGATGCTGATCTCCATTCTGTGACATTACAAATTTTTGTAATTTATGTAATCAAAGAAAATGAATCATACTTTTGCTTTGCTAAAGGAGCCCTGGTGGCATAGTGATTAAACCCTCAACTAATAACCAAAATGTCAGTGGTTTGAATGTACCAGCTGGTCTGCAGGAAAAAATGTGTTAGTCTGCTTCTGTAAAGATTTACAGTCTGGGAATCCCTATGGGGCAGTTCTGCTCTGTCCTACAGGGTCACTGTGAGTCCAAATCAAGTTGTCAACAACGGGTTTGCTTTGCTATAATGTACACTTACACTGTTGAACTTAACAGAGACAAATAACATATCTCTTTAAGTCGTAATGTTTCTTTTTATTTCCAGTTAATTTAAGGCATATTCTTGAAAAGGTCTACTTGGAAAAAGGGGAAAGAAAATCCCTTAATTCTACTATCCTTAGTAAACTAACAGTTAATGTTTGGTACCTTCTTTTCAAGATGGTGAAAAATGTATTCTTATCTATTTTTTTGTTTTACAAAATTAGATCCTATTGTAATGTTACTTCGAAAAAATATATTTTATTTTTTCCGTCTTGTTTTCATTTTAGGAGAAAACCAAAAGCCAAGGCACCACCTCCTCCAGCTGAGCCCTCATCCGTTGATGTCTCTTCAGTTGATGATTCTGTAGAATCCTGTGCCTTCACCATGGAACAGAAGGAAAACATGATAGATAAAGACATTGAACTCTCAGTGGTTCTACCTGGGGATGTCATCAAATCGGCTACTGTTCATGGCAGGTATGATGGAGCGAATGGCATTCCAGGAGCTCTTTTTTCTTCTACCATTAAAACCCTATGTGCTATACTTGACTGTATTTTTCTCATCAGGATAGTTCATTCATCACTCAGTTTAGTTGTCTATGTTTTTAAATGCTAAAGTTTTTTCCTACCAATCTTTTAATACCCATCCTATGAATTTTACAATCCCAGTTAAGTGATTACAACTTTATTTTATTCATTTAATAAGTTTTTTTTTTTTTTTTTTTACAAAAGCCTTTCCCAGAAGCAAGGTCATCAGTCATATTGATTTTGTAAATCAAAACAAGCCAGTGACCAGCAAGAAAGCCCTTCCCATTCCTACCCAAATTATTATTTTCATTTTAAGGTGCTGCCTTGAATTTGTAGAAATTACTAACTACTCTTAAAATGTAGTTCTCTTTTGTTGAGCAAAGAAGATAAATCTGTCTGTAAAAGAAGCAGAATTTTTTTTTTTTACTTCATTGAATGAATTGATTTAATAAAAATATACATGAGTTAAATAGAAATGTAAAATCTTCACACTTTAACCCAAGAAGTGAAGAGGTGATTTAGAACACTGGTATTGTTTAATATCTACATAAAAATTGGAAAAATGAGATAAAGCCAAGTGTAATTTTCCATTTCATTCTGAAGTGGAAAATTACATGAATTATATACTTGGTCTTGTTCTACCTTTCACCTTCATTTGACAGTTTGTTATCAGATGTCATGTTTTAGAAATTTGAGTGTTTTGGCCTTAGTACAGTATATGTGTGTGTTTACATGTATAACAAAATAAGTATTTAAAAAATAGTATCATCTGGTTTTGTCTAGAAGAAACTCATTTAAGATAACCTTAATTTTAAGATTTATAATCAAAATTATATATAACTACATATTATTGAAAGTAGATGAGAATAGAAGAGTTTAACTTTAACGAATACATAGTATTATGTATTAAATTCTCATTAAATTTAAGTAAGTGGCATTTTATCATTCATTTTATATTGACAATAATTTTACAGGTCACACATGGAACTCTTTTTATGAGATTGAGAGACCTTCTGACTTTCCTAGTACCCAGGCAATCACCTGGGCTATACCCCTTTTGGGTGAGGAATGCGTCTTATAAGTTAGAGATGGTGGCCATCATCTTCAGTTCTTGAAATAATACCATTCATTACTCTGGCTATAAAATAATAATAATTTTGTAATAATGATTTTTGTAATGAATTGAGCAATTACAAAGTAAGTGGAAAAATCATTGTTTTTCTAGTTTCTCATTGATTATCTTCTTTATTCTGGTCACATATATCAGTACTCAATTTCCCCTATCCATCAACACAATGGGCTCTCTTTAAAATGGTCCCACTATTTAAATCTTAGAGTTCCTGCTTTGTATGCAATATTTGGCTGCTGCTTCTTCTTTTTTCTTTTTCTCAATCTTATAAACCATATATTTTTATTTTTATTTGTGTTTTGCAATTTTGACCATTTTGGAATTGTTTCATTGTGGTAACAGTGAAATATTTGAGAGTTCAAGGTTTTTTTAATGTATATTTAGTGACATTGAATACGCCTATCATGTTATGCAGCCATCACCACTATCCGTTTCTAAATTATTCCACCATCATTAACAGAAACTCTGTCACCCCTAAGCACAGATTCCTCCTGCCCCTCGCCCTCCCACCCTGGTAAACCTAGCTTAATTTAACAAGTTGCCTTCTAGTCAGTTCTGACTCATGGCAACTTCGTGTGTGTTAGAGTCAACCTTTGCTCAGCAGGGTTCTCAAGGACTGACTTTTGGAAACACAACCATTGCCAGGTTGTTCTTCTCTGATACCTCTGGATAGACTCAAAAAACCAAGCTTTCTGGTAGTAGCCACACATATTAACCATTTGTACCACCCAGGACTCTCTTACCCTGGTTGTTGTTATTTTGTGCCGTCGAGTCAGACCCGACTCATAGCAACCCCTCCTTGGGTTGCCGAGGCAATATCACTACGGAAGTAGATTGCCCCATCTTCCTTCAAAGGAGTGGCTGGTGGGTTTGAACTGCCAGCCTTCTCCTTAGCAGTCAAGTGCCTTAGGCACTATGCTACCAGAGCTCCTCTCTTACCCTGGTAGCCACCAGTAAACTTGATCTCTGTGTATTTGTCTGTATCATTAAGTAGGATCATACAATGACTATCCTTTCATACACAATATTTTAAAGGCTGGTGGTTCAAACCCACCAGCCACTCGTTGGAAGGAAGGTTGGGCAATTTACTTCTGTAGTGATACCACCTCGGAAACCCAAGGAGGGGTCACTATGAGTCAGGTCTGACTCAACGGCACATAACAACAACAACAACAACAACAACAACCTTCTAGCCACACTCTCAATCTCTGTCTCATTGAATTTATTTACCATTAATGCTAATCTTAATTATGTCTGCTTTTTAGGTTGCCTCTTTTTCATATGTAATTTGGATTCTGTATCAGTCAGTTCTATTACATCTGTACTTACAAAGACCCTCAACTGTTATTACCCTTTCAACTTTCCAGCATGTTTGTCTCTCTGGTCCCTAAATCTTAGAATTTTCCATCAATCAGCTTTTAATTCTTGGACTGCCAACTGCTGTTGGATTGCCTGCTCTTGATCTATAAAAATATATTACAATGGAATTGTTGTTTGGATTAAATAAGATACCATATGTTGCTAGGGTTAAATGAAATACTATCAGTACATGCCATATGTTGGTCTCCTACATTTTCTGTTGGGAACTACTTCCCCTAACCCTATACACTTTCCACTTTACTCTTGAACCTCAGATTACTCTGACTAAAATACTTCTCTGTTTGTGGTACTACCTTTGATAAAAGACTGCAGGAATAGCAATTCAATACCAAGTTAAGAAAGTTCAAACTACTAAGCTTAGAGATTGAGACACCTTGTTTCCTCTCTGAAATTAAGTAGGCTTTTCATTCACTGCTTCACTTTGTATATCCTAAGCTTCAGCACGTGACCCTTTGCCTTCTACAGATAATCTACTTTTTCTGCCTCCTCACCCCTGTGAAAGTTTGTCTACCTGAACTGCTGTACTCCCCATATTTTCTTTAGCTACCTTGCATAGCTAAAGTGACACTTTTTATATAGAGCCTCCCTGGTCATCCCAGAATCAACTGTCTTTGCTCTCTTCCAAACTCTTAAAACCTTTTATACCACTTATGGTTATTACATATTAGCAGTCAAGTGCTTTAGGCACTATGCCACCAGAGCTCCTGTAGTTCTCATACTCTTGAATAAACCATGACATCTATGATGGCATATTTACTTTTCTTCATAATATTTATTAGGACAGCTGTTTTCAATAGAGTAGGCATTTACTAAATAGTGTAGGCATTTACTAAATAGAGTAGGCATTTGCTAAATTCGGTAAAAGGAAAATTGTCTAAAACCCTTATATGTAGATAGAGGCAGCAACTTAAATGATACACTTTGAATGGGTCCAGTAGCTTTTTCAGCATCTTTTGAATAAAGAGACTTCCTCCAGGTAGGGAGCAAAGCAAGAATACCCAATATGGGAATGCCCCAGACAAATTCTATCGTCTTCCCCCCAACACACACACTTAAATATAGCTCTGTTGTTGTTGTTATGTGCTGTCAAGTCAGACCCGACTCATAGCGACCCCTCCTTGGGTTGCCGAGGCAGTATCACTATGGAAGTAGATTGCTCTGTCTTCCTTCCAAGGAGTGGCTGGTGGGTTTGAACCGCCAGCCTTCTGGTTAGCAGTCAAGTGCCTTAGTCACTATGCTACCAGAGCTCCCAAATTTAGCTTAGGGATGAAAACTTTTTTTTTAAAGTGGACTTTGTTTGATATTAATGTCTTTACTAGAGTTTGGTATAGGGACTTATATCCTAATTGTTTTATCATTTCAGGAATGACTCAATTTTTTATACATTACTCCTCACTTACTGACTGTCTTGTTATGTGACATTTCATGTTTATGACAATAGTAAAAAAAAAAATCTATTCAACTGTTTTGCACATAAATGACACACATCAGGCAGTGCTGAATGCCAAGGTGCTAGGTGAGAGTAACACTGGCTATGATAATTAAGGTTCTGTGTCACCTTGGCTGGACCATGACTCTCAATGGTTTGGCAGTCATGTAAGGATGTAGTTCAGCAGTTTTGTAATAATGTAGCCATCCTCTGTTTTCTCATAATGCTGACTTTTGCATAGCAACTTGGTCTTTGGAATTTTACTATGCTGATAAGTGAGGAGTGAGTGTAGTTAATAGTGTTTATGATTAAGGGTGTTTGTGTGTGATTCTGTGTATCTTAGGAATGTGATTCTGCTGTCTAATTTAGAAATGTGAGACTAGCTATCCTAGGGATATGATTAGGGATATTTTAAGAACGCCACAGTTACTGCTGGCCTATTGTTTAAATTTTATTTTTTTTTAAATAACAAAAATAAATTTTCAAATAGATAATTATATTCTATTTCTGAAAAATGTTACCTACTAAATGTAATAACAAAGGTAACTTAATAACAAAGATAACTTAAATTTCTTCATGGCTATGTTAATATAAAATGTATAGACAGAATATCAACAAAATGATATAAGAATTTGGGAGAGGACTAGGGAAGGTAATTTTTTTTAAAAAATTTAGTTCATAAGTTTTCTTAGATAAAGCAGGGTTCCTATGTCACTCTGAAGGATCCTTAATAAAATTTTTTAGTCCATGTTGTCTTAATATTCCTTATGTATTATATTTATTTTGACATAATTTACATCCATGAACTGTTGTGAAGAATAGTGCCAATATTAGACAGACATAAATATTTAGGAAACATATTTGTGTGCTTCACTGAACTTTTTCAGAAACAGTTTTTTTTTTAAATGTATTCTTGGGGAACATTTTTGAAGAGTCTCTTTTCTGTCTTTTTAAATAACTCATGCAAAGATATGTTCAAAATGTTCCATTTGCCAGAATGTGAGCACATAG